ACACAGCCTCAAGCAGATATGGCTCCACCAACCCACCCTAGATACCTGCCTAGAACTTCCAGTGTCCCTTTGCCACCTTTTTAAGCAAACAAGAAGGGGATCTGTATTAAATCTGATGTTCTCTCTAACTGATGCCACCATAAGCTGTTCAGCGCCCACCAGACACAGCAGCACTTGGACCCAAGCCAAAGCCACCAGACCCTCCCAAGAACATTCGAGGTAAGGCCATTCCTGTTCCTAAGGACAGGGCGGGACAGTTTTCTTACCCAGTGCCCAACGGCCAGGACAATTCACCCATCCTCAGTATGACCCACTATCGTACAATCTGCTCTCTTACTCAGAAGGTCCACCTCAGCTCAGTTCTCCTCATGCATCCCCATGGAGATCTTTTTGGAGATATATTTGGGGTTGGGATGGCTGCAGGAGTGTCCCCAAATTCTGGGATAGCTCTTGAGCACCTCGACTTCTTTGGGAAGGGATTTCTTGCCATGGAACAAGGGGCATGCACCTTTCCCCAGCCAAGATTGATAGGCAAGATTAATTGGGCTGATCAGCTGTGCTGGCCTAACAGGGCCAATCCTCATTAGCAGATCACCCTGCTCCCAACCCTCTACAAAGCCTCCTCACGGCCATGACCCCCTCCTCATGAGAGATGGGCACAACCACAGGGGCTTCTCTGCAGAGGTATGGTCCCCAGGGCCACCTACAGCACCCACTGCGGAGATATGGGGCTTCAGGCATCCTGGGGACCCATGGAGGAGGCCATGATGGCCTGTCATGGCAACGGAGGCTGGAGAGGCTGTGTTGGTGCAGGAGAGTCTGGACACCGTGCCAGCCTACCATGGGACCAGGGAAAGCCAAAGAGACCTGAGGAGGCCCCAGCACCACAGCAGCCTCACAGATGGTGCCGGAGGCAGGAGCAGGACCACTCTGCCCATGGCTGAGCCCGGGGAGCAGGAGCACAGCCACCTCCTGCCATTGCTATCACTGTGGGGATGTGACTGGCACCAGTGGGATGGAGCTGGCGATACCCACCCAGCACCTCCCCGAGCAATGCAGCATTGTGCAGGGTCTGGTGCACTACAAACACTGATGGGACCCATTTCTAAACATCTTGTGGGGTCTCAGTGCTGCTCAACCTTACCCCTTACTGGGGTTACCAAAGCACAAAACTCCCCAAGCACCAAACCTCATCAGCTTGATTTGGAAGCGATGGCCTTCACTCCCAGTGCTCCGGTCCTTCAGTGCGGGATGGGACTCCAGCTGGCAGCACAGCCCCAAGGAAGCACCGTCCTGGCTGGGGCAGCCCCCTTCCCCTGTGGAATTACCCA